GCTTTTTTATCCGAGGCCTTTCAATAATTGATAGATTCCAGCGTGGAAATAAAAGGGCGAGCAGGCCACAAGGGTACCTAAAAGCAAGTCGACTGATAGTGAAATAAAAGGTAGAAGTGTCTGTTCCATTAGAAATTTAATGTGATGTGATGGAAAATGAAGCAACAGGATCAGACGCAAGAACCACCAATTAAGCAGAACCAGCAAGCGCCATGCAATCAAAAAGCAGTCATGGTAACGTTTGATTAGCTTTCAGAAAACCTTGGAAGACGCCAGACGGTGAGCAATCAAGAGATCTTACTTGGATCTTTTAAGACCAGTAGTTACTTGAAAACGAGAGCCGCCAGGAAATCAGTAGATTCCTCAATGGCAACACATCTCAACATCTATCTAGCAATTATTTGCACCAGCGAGGTGCTATCATTGTGTTTTGTGTCTGTATCCCTAACTGCTCAAAAAATATTTGTCAATAAATAAACAAACAAAATAATGCGTCTTTTTCTACTGAAAGTAAGTCCTCCAAGTGACAGGGGATGAATGATAGAAGGTACCTACCTAATTAATTGTCATCTATTCATTCAATTCATAGGCAATTCAGGGGCATCGATCGGCAGCGCCCTTACTGCATGGTACTGCGGATCGTCGATGGGTTTCTTGATGACTCCGACTCTGACTCAGACTTTCAAAAATCAACTCTGACTTTGATTTCAAATGTCGGCTCTGACTGACTCCGACTCCACAGCCCTAGCGGGTCTGCGGAGGCAATGGTTTTTCGGTGACTCCGACTCCGACTCTTGCTTTCAAAATCGACTCTGACACTGACTCTGGTCAGAACTGTCGACTCTGACCGACTACAACTCCGACTACGGAACCCTGAAAGGTCTGCGGAGGGGATCGAATTTCGGTGACTGACTCAGACTCCAGGCTTTTAAAATCTACTCTGACTCCGACTCGACGACTCAGGTCAGAACTGTCAACTCCGACCGACTTCATGACTCCGACTCCGAAGCCCTACTGGCAGTTATCACGCCAGGGAGCTGCAAATCGTATGTTCCGTGGCGGTTTATGGCATTAAAGTCGATAATGCGGCTGAACCGCACTATGAAACACCCTTATTGGCTGCAAGAACCACGAACGTTAGCGCATCACCACTGGAAAACAGGGCCTCGGCTAACATGTTAACTACTGGGGCAAATGCCCCAGTAGAGTCGAGGAATGCCCCAGTAGTGGTCAGGCTTTGCCCAACCTCCATAAAATGAGAATATATCAACATTAACGCATATTCTTTCATTCGGGAGCGGTTGAAGACGTTTGTGGCAAGAAATCAGGGGCGGCGGAAGAGGGAGTGCACGGTGTGCAGCTGCATTCTCAATTTCCATCCAAAAACATATAATAACATATAACATAAACATATAAAACATATAATAGGCGTGCATTGGCAAACATATCTTTTTGCACCCCATAATCCATCTTCGTTCGAAAGAGCGTAAAAAATAATGACGAAATTACTTCGGCCACTTTTTTGGTCAGGTCAAAGGTCAGGTCATGGTGAAGGCCAAATTTCGCCGATTTTCAGGTCGAATATCGACACTCGACAGTTTACAAGATGCCGACGCATAACTCGGGAACCAATTAGAGCTACAGCACCGCGGAAAAGCGCATTTGATAGCCATATTAGCATGCTTTCTGGTTATCTCTCTTAGATTTGACCTAACGTCAACGGTTTTGCCTGCAAGGGGCAACAATTACCAAAATAAACGATTTTTTTTCGGGAGCAGTTTTTCTGCAATAACTTTTGACTCATACCTTGCACGAGCTTTCTTTTATCGACATGGTGTTCCTCTCGTCAAGGCGCATAAAATTAACCGAATTTGACCTTGAAGGTCAACTTGAAAATTCGACCTCAGGTCAAGGTCATGATCTGACCGGAAATTGTCATGTTACATATCAGTCGATCTGCATCGTCGAGCCAAACACAACTAAGGCATTTTCATCGCTCTAGCATGCCTCTTTCAAAAGTTATTCGCGAAAAACTGTTAGATACCATACGTGAACTGAGATGACCTCAGGGGCATAAACAAGGGTCACGGGTGCTATTTTCATGTTCAGTGTGTCAAAGTCACGTACAGTGTTTTATAGTGTTTAGTGTTAAGAGAATAACTTTCGTCCAAAAGAGGTGGTTTTGAATTTTCTCCCATTGACTTATAATAGAGGTCGCAAAATTGAGCTGACCTTAGGTCACCGATATGAAAATTCCGAGATATAAATTTTGTACATGCTGTTGCCCTTATCAATCGCTGAAAGTTTCAAAGCGATCGGTCACTCGGTGTAGCTACGGCAACATTTTATGAGGTGAGGTCACTTAAAGTGACCTGGTGACCTGATCTTGAATGAAATTGGTCTGAAATTTTTACAACACGTGTAGAATTGATGGATGATGGAGCGCCGCCGTTTTTGAGATATCCGTGAAAAACCGCAGGAAAAACCGCAAGTGTTCAAACCCCCCCCCCCCCAGCAGGGCGTCAACACACTAACGATTTGCCCCAGTAGTCAAAATTCCTTAGCCGAGGCCCTGCTGGAAAACGTGACAGGTTATCGATTAATTGGCCCTGGATTTGGATAAATAACATGTTGATGATCATATTAGCACACATTTACCTTACCATCTATCTCAAGGTTGCCCTTCAGGCGGCTCTAAACTATGGCAATTTCCCTATCTTCAACATGTAAATGCCCTCGGGCGTCCTCGTGGTGACGTAGGCATGGGAGTGCCAGGTTGGTAGGAACTAGACTTCGACGCCCCCTGGCTAATGTCAAACCCACATCTGCAACCCGTACTGCAGTTCCAGTCTGCAAAACGTGGCAGGGTTCGACGAGATCTCGTCGGGGCAGACACAGTGGGGCAGGGGCAGAAATCGGGGCAGCTTTTGAGAAGTCGGGGCACAGTTGGGCGATTCCGGGGCAGACAGTTTGCAGTCGGGGTGGACCGGGGCGGGGCACACGGTACCGGGAGAAAATAATAAAGAAGCGGAGTATTTTTGAAACGCGCGAGAAAAAGTGGGCTGCGCCACAATCGTCGCTAAAGCGCAGAAACTGTCATTTAAAACTGCTGCCATATTCAAACTTCCCTTCATCAGGGCTATGAATGTTTTACGCGCCGTGTTTCGTATTAGCAACCAAGGAAAGGTGCTCCCGGAGCTAACTCCTTTCTAGCCTAACCAAATCGAATCAAATCAAACCAAACCATACCTAGCCTAATCGAACACTCATAAATGTGCCGTATAACCCTCACATAGCTGCCGTCCGGCCAAATGATGCCGCGAACACGCGACCGGCGACCTACAGATTACGAGACTAGCACACTCGGCTCGGCACACTTGAAACCAAGCCATCAAGCTAGCTGATCACCGTCGAGACTCGAGACAAGGTGTAATTGTGTAATTTCAGTTTTTCAATTATGCATTGCGGGCTGGGGCATTGTCCGGGTAGCGCCTATCTTTTGTTGCAAAAACAAAATGCGCCCCTCGCTCCAGATTGATTCGCTGTTGCCATGGCAACATGAGGCAGTTTTGCACCCTTGCCCCCGTGTTCGATGTCTCTCGGACGACGAAGATTCTACGTCGTCCGGCCAATCCCGTTCAAGGTCAGCGGGGGCTCGGCTGCGGTTATCGAACGTGATTGGTCGGACGACGTAGAATCTACGTCGTTGAGCAGATCCTTTCGTAAAAAAATTGTTTAGAGTTTCAACCGCGACCGACTTCAGCATTTGCACGGGTAATGTATTAATATGTGTGGTTTTTATGCCATATATAGGTAGTTCATTTAGGGCATAATCTAACCTGCCCCGAGTAGATGCCCCATTTGGGGCAGAAATTGGGCTGCCCGGAGGTCAAATGCCCCATTTGGGGCAGGATTCCGGCTGCCCCAAACACCTCGTCGAGCTGGCTGCCACGTTTTGCAGACTGGCTGCAGTTTCAATCACCTTACAAGCACACCTTCTGGCAGTTTGATAGGCAGAATGGTCATTACTACCTTCTCCTCATATTCAACACATATTCCCTTTATACAGATACAGTTAAGACCTGGTTATGGCAAGCATTTTCGAGAAAAGATAGGATAAGAGTCCAAGACAAAGGTCGAGAGAAACAACACCAACATAAAACACCGACTATGTAGCACTAATACTGTCAAATTCATAAAAATATATGCATGAGTCGATCAGAAATTCACTGTTGATTTCGAAAATGGTGTCAAATGCCACTCAAATACCCCCATTCGCATGTACGAAGCAATAAAAGACTGACCTTCAGTCCCGCGTGCCATTCTCCATTGGCCACTGTGTATTAAATAACGCGTTCACTGATCGCAAAAAATGAGACCCACATATGACGCGATTGCTACCAGCCAATCAGCGCTCGAAATGCCGAGCGCTGATTGGTGGAGAGGGCCAGTCCATTACATGTCGTTTTCCTTGAACATGTGCGTGAGCGCTGATGCTGCTCACGGGCTGTTGCCATTTTTCGTAATGCTGAAGGCACGGGAGCGAACCCCCCTGAAACCACCCCTTGATGGCGACAAGACAACAATATCGTCAGCATACGCCAGCACATTTACAGCACAGCCACCAACGTGACATCCTATGCCAGTAGATTGTAACATTTGAAGGAGATCGTCCAGGTATACTGGACGATCTCCTTGCCGAATCATTATTTATTTTGCTGTTATTTTGCTGCTATGCCTCGAATCTTGCATCAAGTTTGGCTAGAAAGTAGGACAGAAATAACGCACGTGTGACATCAAAAGTTAAATACAAATTTGTTCTTAAGATCGTAAGTTCTGCTGACAGCAGTAATTTCAGAAGTAACGACAAATGACAGGTTCGCTAGCTGTCAACACCACGGGTAGCACTTGCTGACTTTGCGGCTTACGGAACATCTTTACGAAACTTTTGCACAGATACAGCATTTGCCAAATTATGCCAAATATTGATATGGGGATAATTTTGTAAATTGTAAAGCGCGACTGGCATCTTTTGCAACATAACGGGCGCAGATATAAGCTTGCAACAATCCCTATGTAGGGGGCTACTATTGCATGGAAACTGAAGCATCCTTGGAAACATCTAGTAAACGTGTAAACATTAGGAAATGTTAGGCTCAGTTTCAGTTTCCTGTGCTCAATTTCAGAGGTTACAAAATGACGATTCGAAATAAAATAAAAAGAAATTAAAGCATCTTATTTGATTGCACTTTATCCTGATCTGAGGAATGTGGCCTACACAGCAGACAGACAAAGATCAGCATCAGATCAAGATGACATTGACATGCACATGCTTCATGCCGCAAAAGCCAAAACGTGTTTTAAACATGCTCCACTCTAAAATTCTAAAACTCTAAAACTCTAAACTGTATATGAAGTGATTTTACAGCCCTTACGTGTTCTTGTAAGTGTGTCTTTTCAGCCTAGTTTGTACGTGCATTTCAATCTAAATGGAAAACATTTCTATTGGAGCGTGTTTTGAAGCTCTCGATAAGCTAACATCAGCAGATTTTGAAGGTATGTCAATGTACTGTGAATGTGATCCTTGTAGCTTATGGTGGTGTGGGTGTCATACCTTGACGTCATTGTAAACCAATTGAGCTTTGAAATTTTGCATGAACTATATTATATTGCTTCTCCTCTGCCTTAGGCGGCCAATACCATGAACAAATTTTTAGAGGAAAGATCTAGTCCATCAGGCATATACAGGCCTCTAAATTCTGTGTAGACCTAAGGTAAGGTAAGATAAGGAATCTGGTAGGTACCAATTTAACTTTATTTAAGTGTGTTGTGTTTTTCAAACTTTGTACCCATGCTTAAATGCTGAGTGTCAACACACTTGCAAGTTTTTGTGTAGGCATCTTTGTCAAACTCTTGAAAGATATATCATATTACAGTCAGTTAACAATTACACTTGTTTTTTCATAGGTATCCTGTTTCAAACACTTATATTGTGTTCATTATTCTTTTGTTGAAATTTGAGTCAATTTTAGTTGCAATGTTAACTTGATCATATCAAAACATTTGATGAGGTTAAACCAGTTTGGTAGATACCAATTTAAAAGTTTTTGAACTTGTAAAATTTAATCCAACCAAGTAACTGATCAATAAATAACACTTCATAACTTTTTGGATAGTTGTTTGCACATTTACCACATATTCTGTGTAAATCTGGTGGTGACAAATCCATTTTCAGCTAAATGGAAATTGAACATTGCATCTAAGTTGATGACATACTGTGAGACATTATCAACTGTCCATCCCTGCCTCCATGCTACTCTTTAGTCTGTCTGGTCATCCTGTGCTCGCCCTCTGATGGCATGGATACCATATCCATTTGGATTCGTGTTTGGGATATCTTAATGTGTGATAAGTGTTTGATTTGTATGATTGCTTATGCTTCCTAGGAAAGATTTTCCATAATATGGATAGCCTTACAGAATCCCCTAACCTAGCAATATTCTGCCAGAAGCATATGTAAATCTGTAGGCCTTTTTGCAGGTGAAAGTCATTGCTATGAGGAAGCACTGGAGAGGAGGCTAAATATCTTAAACTACTGGCTGGAGAAGGAAGAAAATGTCAACCTGAAGTCATCATTCCATGATATTTTACTCTCAGATGACTTTCAGTGGGATGGAGACTGTAATATCAAGTGAGTGGAATATGTTTAATTGCATTCAGCATTTTCTTCTACACGCAAAACATGTGTGAACTGGGAACATTCACTGAGTTCCTGACTATATCTTGATTGAATTGTTTTGCATTTGTACTTGCATTGCATTGCAGTTGCATCGTATTCGTATTTGCATTATCAAGTTGCTAGTGATATGCCTTTGTGAAGATTTTCAGTACTATTCACACTGTGCCCCCTAGTTGGAGCGCTTTGAGTACGTGTTCGTATGTACGAGTATTCCGTTTAACCGGCGGCCGTGCTCGGGTCGCAGTGTGCGCCTCTCGCTGGCGGTGCTGGCGCTGCTGGAGCTGCTGCGCCGCTGCCTGGAGGCGGCGCGCGCCTCCCGTCCTCCGTCCGCCGCCGCCCCGGGCGCGCCGCTGCCGCCGCCGCCGGACGAGCTGTCGGTGCGTCAGCGGCGCGCCGCCGCCCGCGCCGTCCAGCTCACCGTGGCGCTGTGCGTGCTGCCCGCGCTGCCGGCCGGCGTCGGCGTGCCGCTCCAGCAGCGCTCCGAGAACGCCGAGCTGCTGCGGGCCGCCGGCGCGCTCCACACGGACCAGTACCAGGTCAGCAGACGGGCGGGTAGTAACGGGTCAGCAGGAGTGGGCAGTACCCGGGGTCAGCAGACAGGCAGTATCTGGTCAGCAGACGGGCGGGCAGAACCAGGCCAGCAGATGGGCAGTACCTGGTCACCAGGGGCTGGAAGTTGGGACGGGTAGTACCAGGTCAGGAGGACTGGGATGGGCAATACAGATCACCAGGACTTGACCTGCTGACCTGTATATGGTAGGTACAGGGTGACACAAAAAAGCGGTCATCACCAAAATTCGAATAACTTCGGAAGTTTTATTCAGATCATCACCAAACTTCGGCCACTTTAGGTCACATCTACGTAGCAGACATCCACCAAGTTTCAAGTCTTCACTACGAATACTTTAAGTACAGTGTGTGTTACTGACACTCCACAATGTGCTTCAGGTGAGCGCCCCGGCGCTGCAGGGCGTCCCAATATTGGCCAGTTTGGGTGGGAAGGGACATCCAAATCAAAATAATTTTCCACTCCCACTTCCAATTTTCCACTCCCTATTCTACCAATAAAGAGCATCTGCGCGTAACTTTTACCTCCCTCCATATTCGATTTGATAATCTTATAGGTAAAGCAGCTCCCACATCCTCCAAAGTTCATAAATAAATTTTTGATCTCTGTTTTCTGCTCTTTTTGTGCCTTTCTGACTGGCAATTTACCACTCTCAACCCTCTTTGTAGTGAAGAATATTCCCCTCTGACACCCAAGCCAAAATATAATTTTGGGACACTGGGCCCAGGGCGTAGGCACACCTGCATCCGGCGGGCAAAGTTGTCGATAACCCGATGGCCGTGCACTTTACCGAGTGCAATGGCCCCTGGAGACAGTGCTCAGGGGGTGTGCTACCCCAGAAACGTTATTCTTATCGGGTTATCGACAACTTTGCCCGCCGGATGCAGGTGTGCCTACGCCCTGCAGCGCCGGGGCGCTCACCTGGAGCACACTGTGGAGTGTCAGTAACACACACTGTACTAAAAGTATTCATTCATTTCATTTCATTTCGTTTATTCACCATATCAGCCACGGGACATGCCCATTTACGGCCAAAGTCACAGCACAATAAAAATACATGAACCATACACAGTCTTCATAAAATTATCCCTATTGCTAAAGTACAAGATAAAATAAGGAATAGATTGAAAAATAAACAAATGCGAGCACTAAACATGCTAAAATCGTTTCAAGCGCTATGAGAACAAGCACTCTTAACATACCTTAAAATACAAGACCTGACGCGAGATAAAGAATCATGAAATATGTCGACCTCATCACATCGCTGCAAAAACTCGTTCATCACCCTGGGAAGCCTACAAAACATACCCATTTTCACCGTTTCTACTCTTCCGTGGGGCACCGCAAGAAAAGTACGCAGCCGGGTGATGCGGGGCGGAACGGCCAAGCCAAAGTGCGACCGCAAGAAGCTGGAGTCGATATTATTTTTCAAGATGCGTGTCGAGAACATTAAGTCATGTTGAGTTTGCCTTAAATTCAGTGGACAGAGAGAAAAGTGAGAAAGCAGGCGGCTATAGTCGAGAGTTTGTGGCGCGCCAGAAACGTGGGTCGACAACCAGATAACAAATTTGTGTTGTACGCGCTCTATTCGTTCTGTATGTGACTTCGCCGCCCCACCCCACACCGCGCTACAATACTCCAGTATGGACCTCACATTAGCACAATAAGCAGCGATCAAAGCCGTTCGGTTAAATTTGACCTTTCGTCCAGACTGAAAAAAACGTATCATCACACCGAGACCCGAGTGCCCTATTGGCTTTGGAGACAATGCTATCGACGTGCTTTTCGTAGTGATAATGCTATGATAATGCTATCGAATGCTATTCGTAGTGAAGACTTGAAAGTTGGTGGATGTCTGCTACATAGGTAGGTGTGACCTAAAGTGGCCGAAGTTTGGTGATGATCTGAATAAAACTTCCGAAGTTATTCGAATTTTGGTGATGACCGCTTTTTTGTGTCACCCTGTAATCCATATGTTGGTGTTTGCAAAGCTTACTGAGACAGTGATATGTCGATTGCCTAGCTATTCATTTGGCAATCTACGTAAGCTTCGGGTAGTTATTTTTGCGCAAGTCCAAATAATCGAAGCTCACTTCCTTGCCGTGTTTTTATTTCGACAAAAGGAACGAGCTTGGTATGTCTTGTCGTAATGCTATTTAGAATTTGTTATTTTTGTTAGACAGTCTCCAACACAGTCGTCGTTTCTGTAACACAGTCGTCATAAGTATTTCGACGAGACCGTCGAGACTGGGATGGGCATTCAATTTAGTTGGATTTGAGGAGATGAGCTGGTGCTTTCCGCGCACCTATTAATGGTGTGTTGATTTGCTGTCTGTCTGGCTGTCGAAGCTCAGCTATTATTGGATTTCCTGGTTTATGGTATTTGATGTAGGCACCTAAGAGTGCAGACTGCAGACTCGATAGGCGAAATGCGGCCCGACCTCGGAGCTGTGAAGTGCAGCCATTGGTTGTAGGCTGTCCCCATACGACTGGTCGTAGGCGTCCAGTAACTTCAGTTTTATTTATTCAGCAGATCCGACAGCTAGTACTTGACTCAGTAAAAGATGGCGTCGCATCGATCCACTATCTATCCATTACTCCTCAATAAGGTCTGTGGGCCCACCGTAAATCAAAATTTGCAATCCAGAATGGTAAATCGGCATTGTCATTCGCTAAGCCTCGGTATATTAAACTGCTCACTTTTGCCGTAGTTGACGGAGCTGCACTGTAGACGAGCTTAGCAAGACCACGGATCACGCGTGGCAAGACCTTGAGAGAAGTAGGAGAACTTTTTCACGCGGATAAATTCACCATATTTTAGATTTGCCATATTTTAGTGACTTAACTTGATTTACTTGTTTCACGTGATGATTCCATTGTCAGTCTCTCTGAGCGTCTGACTGACATGCTCGTTGAGTCTGACGCTCTGGGGCCACGCTGTCCGTGTGACCGACCCGCCGACCCGCCCCACTGACCGTCCCGTCAACAGTGTCCACTGTCCCGTCTCCCGGGCCACGCTGTCTGTGTGACCGACCCACCCAGTCCCCACTGACCGTCCCGTCAACAGTGTCCACTGTCCCGTCTCCCGGGCCACGTTGACTGTGTGACCGACCCACCCAGTCCCCACTGACCGTCCCGTCAACAGTGTCCACTGTCCCGTCCACTGAGTGTCCCGTCTCCGGGGACCACGCTGTCTGTGTTACCGGCTCACCCAGTCCCCACTGACGGTGCCGTGTGTCTCAGCGCCGGGCTGCGGCCGTGCTGGCGGCACGGCGCCTGCTGCCGCTCAGCGCCGACCGCAGCCTGTCCCCGGCCGTGCTGGACGGCCACGTGACCGACCTGCTGGCGCTGCTGCTGCTGGTGGCGCACGCGCCGCTGGCAGCCGACGGCCGCGCCGGCATGACGCCCGAGCGGCGCCAGCAGCTGCTGCGCCAGCGGCGCCAGCTGGAGCCGCAGCTGGCGCCGCTGCTGGGCCGGCTGCCGGACAGCGGCGCCGTGCGCGAGCTGCTGCTGCTCCAGCGCTGCGCCGCCACCAGCGTGAGTCGCGGGGGGGGGGGGCGTCCGGCACGTGAGTCTGGGGGGGGGGGGCGTCCGGCACAGCGGCTGGGACAGCGCGGTGGCCTGTGGGAGCGTCTGGCCGCTGGGTGTGGATTTGCTGTACTGACTAATGATTAACAGTGTACCGAGTTCTTCCTCATGCCGTAGGCTACAATTACAATCCGTGCCAGAGACCTCTGTGTACCTGGTATACAGAGGTCTATGTCCGTGTATTATTACAATGGTTAGCTAGTGACCAATATCGAAGGATAGGTAAGCTTTATTGCGTGGTGTGTTTGTTTTTATTCAGGTAAGTTATTTACTCGCGCATTCGCCCGTCGCGGCGTACCAGCTTTATGCGATATCGACCACCGGTGCTGCCGTGCACCTGTTTTATTACCTACTGTGTTTGGTGCGTGTTCCAGAAGCCGCCCCGCCGGTGGCTGCACGAGCGCACCGCCTGGTGGGTGTTCCAGTACGTGCGGCGGCCCGGCGGGCTAGCCGCCGTCACAGAGGGCCTGCTCCAGTTCTGGGGTCAGGACCGGCTCGATGACGTGCCTCTGGAGAGAATACAGGTGGGAAGGCTGAGTGTGGCGTGGTATAAGACGGCGTAGTGCACCTTAGTACTCGCCGCCGGCGGATCCAGAAAGGCGGTCTTTGACGCTGCGTGGGGCATACCCCAATTTTTTTTTCCAAATTCCATAAGCTCATCGGATTTCGATTCCTTACGCACTGCTGCGCACTGCTTTACAGTTAAAACCAAACTTTTGCTCATAATAAATAGTTGTTTAGTTTTCGTTTTGTTTTCGAAAAACCGCCAATTTTTGTCGATTTCGGGTGCTGCGGGTGCATTTGACCCGAATGCTCCTCCCCCTCTGGATCCGCCAGTGGTGCTATCCCGTTTCCGCGTCTTAAGAATAGAGGCTTGGTATTATGATCGGATGTTGGCGTATGTGACATTTCAGGAGATGGATTCTGGGAAGTGTTGTAAAATGTTTTCACTTACATTCCGAGGCCTGCAAGCTTGGTCGATTCGTGGGTAATAATGTCCTGTGTCGACGATAATGCATTTCCGTTCGCATTGCGTTGCTCAAAGTCGCGCTTGCTGAAAGCCGTTCTCTGCAATGGGCCAATTTAAAGAGGCTTTGTATGTTCAACCGTCAACGCACTACCGTGTTATGAATGTTATCCTATATCGGAAGTGCCTTATGCTGTTATTGGAACGCACAT